CCGGCAGGGATTGTAGGTGGGGGGAGTGAATGTACAGCGCTCTCTTCCACCTTCAATACCACGACTGAGGTGTCCTTGAGCAAGGCACCGAACCCCCAACTGCTCCCCGGGCGCCGCAGCATAAATGGCTGCCCACTGCTCCGGGTGTGTGTTCACGGTGTGCGTGTGTTCACTGCTGTGTGTGTGCACTGAGGATGGGATAAATGCAGAGCACTAATTCCGAGTATGGGTCACCATACTTGGCCACATGTCACGTCACTTTCTTCATAATTACTGTCTTTGAAATATGTGTCCTTGCAGCACAAAAGCAGTGTTAAGTCGCTGGGGTATATTTGTAGCAATAACCAAAAATACATTGTATGGGTCAAAATTATACATTTTTCTTTTATGCCAAAAATCATTAGGATATTAAGTAAAGATCATGTTCCTTGAAGATATTTTGTAAATTTCCTACCGTAAATATATCAAAACTTAATGTTTGATTAGTAATATGCATTGCTAAGAACTTCATTTGAACAACTTTAAAGATGATTTTCTCAATATTTAGATTTTTTTGCACCCTCAGATTCCAGATTTTCAAATAGTTGTATCTTAGCCAAATATTATCCTATCATAACAAACCATACATCAATGGAAGCTTATGGCTGGTTTTGTGGTGCAGGATCACATATGATAAGAGTGTACTAGCAAATACTGACAAGCATTTGTGGTAAAATATACTTTAATGTCATTTCAATCGAAGCTTGTCGAGTCAAGTCACCTTTATTTGTACAGCGCTTTATACAGTCCAGATTGTGTCAAAGCAGCTTTACAGAGTCAAACAGGAAAACAGTGTGTCAATAATGCAAGATATAATAAAGCTTGCACTTGTATGTCAAACACACATTTGTAATGAAGTTTCCATTTAAAATCTATTAACTGTGATATCAAATAACACACTACCGTGCTTTAGATGTGCTTTAGTATGTTAGTCAAAACATCAAAATGAGTTTACTTCTTTAAAGCATGAGAAAAATTAAAACAATTATTAAAAATGTACTTTAAAATAAAGCTTAAATTGACATTTCAAAGTGCACTTTTTAGAAGTGTGTAAGAAATGTAGTAATGAAAGTGTACTCTTTTTTTTATTATTTCATTAATATTGTATTATCTGCAAGTAGAGTTTTTAAAAAATACATTACAACAAGTGCACATTCAGTACTATTAAGAGCTCTTCTGGTTGAAGCCAGCGGCGGCGCACAGACCTCTGAACCCTTCACGGTAATGGATTGAGCTGAGATTTGATGTTGAGCTCAGAGCAGTTTGGTTTAATTTCGTCCTGGGCTTGTTGTTGCTGCAGAAAGCGCAGGGATTTATGGTCCGCGTCAGCATCTGCTCGCTCTCACTGAGAGGAACTCACTCCTCATCTCCTTTAATCATTATTACTGCGAGCTGGCAGGCAACGAATCATTTTTATATTTCATTACGCTCGCTGAGATTAGCCGACATTCACGTGAAATCCCATGTAACCAAACGCAGCTGCTTTCAGCCTCAACTACCCTAAACCCAGCCCAGCAAAAACGAAATCTCAAAGCTGTGCTTTCACAGGCTGATTCTGTGAACGCTTGGTGATTCACGGGAGACGAGCGATTATGTCGGTAACCAGACCAGCCCAGATGAGCAGCATCAGTCTGAATAATATCAGGACTCATCATTGACTACAGCAGCATTAGGGTTTGGTGTGCTGTTTCGAATTGAATTATCACTTGTGCCAAGTTAGAAATATACTAAATAAGGCTTCATATATATAAATAAATGGGTTATATAAAAAGTAATTTATTTTATGAATGCATGTAATCCTGCCCTCTGACCCGTGTGACAATCTGGTACCATCAAATACGTTTAAGGCTAAGGTCGTGTGATGTGTCTGACAGTACAGCTCCGTCATGACACTGTCAGTCTCTGTTTTCCTCACCATCACATGTGTTTGTGTAGTAGAAAGCTGAAGATCTCATCTCCTCAGGTGTGTCATCATCAGCCTCCAGCTGCAGACGGGAGGATCGTGGGACGTGACTGACGGGTCGAACCTATGGCAGAGCAGCAGCGCGACACAGGTGAGAAAACCACTGCAGCTTCATTACATCAGGATGCATGCCTGATGTTAGTTTGTTCTGCATCATGGCATCTCTGATTGATAATGCACTGTATTAAAATAAAGAAAACGTCACTCATTCACTCTTAGCAGCCACAGAGTTGTTCCTGAAACACTACATAATTAATAATGTTTCAAAAGCTTAATATATATTTCATAATATTTAACAAATATGACCCTGGTCATAAGGGTCAGTTTTTTAAAATAAATAATATTTCCATTGATGTATGGTTTGTTAGGATAGCACAATATTTGGCTGAGATACAACTATTTGAAAATCTGGAATCTGAGGGTGCAAAAAAATCTAAATATTGAGAAAATCATCTTTAAAGTTGTTCAAATGAAGTTCTTAGCAATGCATATTACTAATCAAAAATTAAGTTTTGATATATTTACGGTAGGACATTTACTAAATATCTTCATGGAACATGATCTTTACTTAATATCCTAATGATTTTTGGCATAAAAGAAAAATTTATAATTTTGACCCATACAATGTATTTTTGGCTATTGCTACAAATATACCCCAGCGACTTAACACTGGTTTTGTGCTCCAGGGACACAAATAGACTTTCATTATACCTGAGTTTGTGTGTCGCCGGCTCATGGTCCTTTCTGATCCTCCTCCCTCTTTGTATATTTACGGTAGGAAATTTACAAAATATCTTCATGGAACATGATCTTTACTTAATATCCTAATGATTTTTGGCATAAAAGAAAAATTTATAATTTTGACCCATACAATGTATTTTTGGCTATTGCTACAAATATACCCCAGCGACTTAAGACTGCTTTTGTGCTCCAGGGACACAAATAGACTTTCATTAGACCTGAGTTTGTGTGTCGCTGGCTCATGGTCCTTTCTGATCCTCCTCCCTCTTTGCTTCCTCTCTGCTCTCTGTACCCTCCTGCATAAGTAATGGCAAAAATGCCCAAAATAAATCACAAAAAAACACAGTCCATCTTTCTTCAGATTGCTTCTGATCTTTCTTTGCTCAGTCGAGGTCACTGCATATAACATCACTAATGTGCAAAGCTGATAAGCACTTCTTGGAGTATCTGTTTTAACATTCCTTTAGAAAGGAGTATTTTGATTCAGCAGAATTTATGACACATGAACTTTTAAGGCTAATATGCGTCCATAACATTGTTTTCAGATGCTGCATCTGAGGTGGCATTTAGGGGAACTTACACAGACTGTTCAGAGGTGGCATGAATTAGAATTGCTTAAAGGCACAATATGTAAGTTTTCGCCGCTGGAGGGCGCGTATTCAAAATAAGGGGTTATGACGTCATTGGCAGGTGACACAATGACACTATAGACACGGTGCGTGTCACTAGTTAAAATTGCTTATTTCTCTGGATTTAAGCATTCTTCGAAACATTTGGGATAATGTAAGTACACAAGTCAGCAAAATATATAACACTGTTCTAGTGGTTTTTGGATATTTTAATAAAAAAATCTTACATATTGTGCCTTTAATGCTGTGAGATTAATGGGTAAAAAAAAAAAAAAAACTTGAATATTGCAATATAAAATCATTTTTGAAAAATGAAATAACACTCTAAATATGAAACTAAAAGTGCCAGTAGGTGGCAGCAAGTCACTGTCTGAATGAGTGAGTCACTGAATCATTCAATCAACAGAATCATTCACACGGCTGATTCATTCAGAAATGAAGCAAGTGACTCTCTTTATAATATTACTCTCACTGAATCATTGACTCACTTGATTAGTTCAAAAAAATCAAATAACCGCTGTGTGTTGATCAGAGACGCTCAACAGTTCTGCTGTGACTTTGATTGGAACTATTTTCATTTGTGAAATTGAGCAATATTGTGTCTAAAATGTACATCTTGTTTATTGGACCGTTGTATTAAATCAGTATCACATTTGCAGTTGTGCAGATATTGGGGAGAAACAGCATTCCTGCTCATGTGATATTGTTAAACTAAAAAAGAAGAGTGTGATTTTTTTGTCCTCATATCTTGAGTTGTAGGCTCATGTATCTGCATTCAAATAGCTTCATCACACAGTCAGTCGTCCTGCATCATGATCACCAGACGCTGCGTCAGTGGCGCTGTGGTAACTGCCTTAATCATTTTAACACATTATTTATCCATAATTAACCACACTAAATAAACATGTTAAATCAACAGCTCTAGTTTAAATGCATACAGTGGGTATATTAAAGAATCACCCCTCTTTAAAATAATCACATTTTGTTGCTTTGCAGCCTGAAATGAAGACGGAAGACAGAAATGAAGTTTTTGTTTTCTCCAGCTGTATTTACTCAGTGCAACTTATAACATCCAAAGAAAGATAAAACACCAGCATGTCAGAAATGTCATTTCCTCCGGCTCTTTCATCAGTTTGGAGTAACGTCCTGATCCAGCGAGGCTCTGTGTTTTACCAAACACCTTCCACTTCTTAATAACAGACTTCACTGTGCTTCTAGGCATTGATGAAGCCTTTGAAATGTTTTTGTCTCCATCTCCTGACTTGTGTCTGTCCACAGCTTTATCCCGGAGATCTTTTGACAGTGTCTTGCCACCCATAGCTGATTGTTTGCTTCAGTTGCTCTACCAAGGACTGAAATGCTCCAGGAAAGCTCTTTTCATGCTGAGCTAATCACAGCTGAAAGTCAGATGGCTTTGTGTGTCATTGAGAAGATGATGAGCTGCACCTGATTGAGTTTACAAGTCATTTTTAGGAGGAGCTGAT